TACCAATTATATTCAAGACAATCAATTGAATCACCACATATCATGTAGGCATGTATCCGCCAACAATCAGCCAACGTCGACCAAACCGATTTCGATTGACAATGTGACATGTGAAAAAAGATAATAATTTTCTTCATTTAATAATCAACGTATTGTCTATTACAAATCATTTTGACATCTTTTTAAATCTTTCATTCAAAGTTACATCGCGTTCATTTTTATAATCAATCGATTTTCATGGATTATTTGATTTTTATATATTGAAAAAGATCTGCTTCGTCATCAAAAACCAAAAATGCACATGTTTGTGCAATATGATATGAAATGAACCGCCAATGTATGTCAAAATTAACGAGAAGATTTATTTACTGATTTTAATTACAGATTAAACCACCGATGAACATTTCACAGGCCATTTGCACGGGCTCGTGCTTTTCGCTTGATGTTTTTCGTCATAATTGAATGAAATGAAGTATCTCGTTGACGTTTCGAAGGGAGTGACGGTTGGCCGATGAAACAAAAAGCTGATATCATGTTATCGACAACCAACCCAACAGCATTCAAATTACAAAAACCGATCCGTTAATAAATTCAACGCTGTTTTCCTCTCTGAATTTCTCTTACATAATGATTATTATATTTTAAATCATAGTAAGTATCATTGAACGTTACAAACAACGTGAAAGAATTTAAGTAGCATTTTCAGTCAAAAAGGCCATATTTTTACAGTAAAGTGACTTATTTTCAATACAAATTCCGAATAGCAAACGAAAAAAAATCGATTCGCAGATTCTTTATGTCATGTACGATTCCATTTTACTGCCAATAAAACTTTCAAATGTATTTATAAAAATATGCACTAGTTGCAGCAATATATATAGGTATCATTAGTGGACGGGCGCAACCAACAAGTAACACGAAATATTTTTTTTTCGCCAGCTGATATTAGATCTATAAAAAACATTCGGCGGGTGACTTGTGTCAGTTTACATCGATGCCAAATTCATCACGTGCTTGTAATACCTGTAAACCAATTTCGAACACCCTCTGAACAAAAAAAAGGTTTTTTTTTGTTTCTCGAAAAATGTTCCAAAACGTTTTGCCAGCAAAATCAAATTTAACGACACATTTCATGCCATAAATATTGTATTGTGTACATTTGTATCGATTTTGTTTGCTGTTTTGTTTCAGCAAAATAAAATATATGGCGTAATTTTAACGTCAAGAGTGAAATATCAGCGTTCAATAGTGTTTTAAAACTTTTATAGTGTTTACAAAACTTAAATTATCTTTTATCGTACAATGGAATTGTATTCAAATCGTGGGTTGGTTTTGAAATTCGGCATACCATTGTAATAATAAGCCAATGTACATATGTTTTGTTCATATAAATAGAACACGAAGCATAGTCAAAGTTTATCGAACCACATAATCGTATGGCCCGGGTTCCCAAAAACCGGCAGTACCATTTATACCACAAGGAGTCGTAAAACTCAAACTCCGCATTATTATTTTGTTTTTTTTTTCTTCTTAATTTAACTCGCTTTGGATAGTTTTGGGTTTTAATTGTCTGTTGTACAAATGAGTGGTAAAAAGCGTCGATAATCTGTTTGATAAGCAACGGATTTCAATTAATGAATCAAGCGTTTTCCCAACAAATGTATTTGCTCGTTTTTGTCCATTTATCTGTGGAATGTAATTTCTTTTTCCGTAATTTCACTTAAAGATGAAACATGTGTCTTGCTGACCATATTCATTCGAGCAATGTCCGCCTTTGTGTACAAGGATATGCATGGAGGTGGTATGAGAATACATTTGATCTCGTGAAAATAGCACATTTCTTATGTATTTAAGAACAAACCATTTGGTTCCAATGTATTCTCTCGGTTTGAGTGTGATGAATTCGTTGAATGGCCACAAAGTGGTGCGATTTTATTACAAATGAGATAATTAACCATTTGTGCCACCTAAATAACCGGAAGTTTTTTTTTTTGAATCTTCAAACGACTTTGTTTTTTGGTTGCTATTTCTTGGACGTGCAAATCAAAAATGCGCGATATGGGAATTCTTTTTATTTCTATTCCAAAGTCGTTTTGATCAAGATTCTTCAACAGAAGATATAACATTATACAATAACTATGCTCCCAGATGGGAGATGAGTGTATAAAATGCTTATTTTGCTAGAAGTTAAGCGAAAGTTGTAAATAAAAAAATGTGTGCTGAGGTGCACATGATAATAAGTCGGGGGGCTAATAACAACTAAGTTACGGATTTAGCATCATCCTCTTTACCTACTAAAGATTCAAAAGACCTTCTGCTATCGTAACATCGCAAAGTCAACAAGCATATTATAAAGTGGCGTTGAAGAAGTGGAATAGAGAGATTTCAACAAAAACTATTCACAAACGCAAGATACACATCGAGATTATGAAGAGCACCACTTGTACCTTTTTCGCTTTTTTTTTAAATATCATATAGGCATGGTTCCATATGGTTAATGGAAAGTGGTGAAAATGTGTTAGTTCGCCACTACAAGTATGAAATTAACCGAGCAAAATAGTCGTATGTTACAGACCTCTGGTGATACCGATTAGAGAAGCTGGAAAATTGACACCTCATTTATCGAGGCTCGTGTAAACTGTGTGCGTTTCCTTGTTTCGGAAGAATTTAAAGTGATTTATTTTTATCTTAAACTGATATTATTATTATCGTTATTATAAATTACATGAATTTTGTGTTCCATACAGGTTGCCATTTTCATTGTTTCTACGCAATAATTATTCACAAAATAAACTTTACACCAAAAGGTCATAATGTCGCCTATACCTATTTTATCGCTGAAGTTGATCAATGTAGAACAGAACAAATCCCGTTTTCCCGCCCGTGTTCGATTTCATGCTTTTTGAAATGGGTAAATGAGAATTTATGAGTTTTCTTTTTTTGCTTTTAAAATTGCAAAATGCACTCAAATGATTAATTTTGATTCGTATCACACGGTTTTTTTATCCGCTACATTTCGAAAGTTTCAAGCTATTGAGATTGGACTAAACAAAAATTAACATATATATACTATATAAAGTTTAAAATGCCGAAGTGCTATTGCATTTGAATTTACTTTATGACTGTCTTACGCATTTCTCCCATTGTGCTCTCGCTTTTTTGTCGTCGTCACCAGAACCTTTTTCACTGACGGTTCAGGGGCATGATTCAATTTTTTTTATCAAACTCAAAGTGATACAAATGCAAAAACAGGGGCAAACACATTCCAAAATCATAATGTTTGATATTTACTCTCATGTGGCCAGTGAAAAGACGAAACAACGACAAAGACGAAGAATAAGAAGAAAACTCCAGCGCACCCGACAAAAATATGATGCTAGATCATTTTTATTATTTTAACTTTGGCTGTTATCATCAACGAATAAATAAGTAATACCAAACACTGCCAAATTTCCCAATGGAAACGAAATTTTTTTCCACTGTATATGTATATTTTGTTGCTATAATATTATTCTGTTTTTTTTGTTGTTTGCCAAAAGAGATGATGTAGATATCATTTTATTTACTTAAAGTTGCTGAAAGAAATATGGTATGTATATGTTTGAGTGATAAAACTCCCAAAAATGCGTGTGAAGCTTTCCATTAACTTAATTTGCATGCATCCACAGCCGTACAACTGGCTTGGTGTTCAGAAAGCGCGACAATGACTACGGTACGAGAGGATGTTGATTTGAATTTTACATCACAAAGAAGTGTGATAAAATTGAGTTTATTTCATCATCATGAGACTGCCCGTGGTGAAAAGAACCGAGACACACACACACACATACACAGAGAGAGAGAGAGAGAGAAGGAGAGAGAGTGAGGGAGAGAGTATTGTGTGACTATCAATCAAATCTCGACCACCGTTTCGCACATCGATAACTGTTTGAAATTGAAATGACAACTGAATTGCAGCGAAAAATACAATTTTTATAGTCAAATGACTGAAGCTAAACCAATATTTCATCATTAGATCCCGCCCACCAACATATGGAATTTATTATCCAATGTTTATATGATTTTTGTTACATTGAAATGCAGTCCAGCAAGGACTTTGGACGTTTGAAATGCAAATAATATAACCACGCAACACCAGTGAAATGAATTCCGATGAATTTGATTTCCGACAAGCCATCACTATTCACAGCTACATTTCAGTCCCATTACAATAAAAGTCGTTTAATGCAAACTGATACCGATCAAATTGATGTTACCAGCATGACATACACACATTCACGTAACTTACATTCATTTGAACCGCACCATTTTTCAGACCACCAAAATAAATATCCGTTATAATCCGAAACACGATGGCATATACTACCTAATAATAAAGTCCACGGTCACTTGTCCGCATTATTATAAATGAATAGACATTTTAACACTCGTTTGTTTTGCATTTCAGTGAAATATGCATCAAATAGACAATGCATTTGTGTGGCGCTGCATTTATTTTCAATATACATTTATAGCCAGATGGATGCCAAAATAATTTCATCCATATTGTGTGCGAAGAAAGCGTTTTGAAATTTATTTTTGAAAATTGTCGGTTTGTTTTTATTTTCAATGTAATGAATTGAATCAGTTCCGTTGACAGAATTGCATAAATGTAATGCCACTTTTCACTTCTATATCTCTCTGCTTGCCCATCTCTCTTTGTTTCTTTCTTCTCTCTCTCTCTCTCTCTCTCTCTCTCTCTCTCGTGCTATCTATCTGCTTCTTTCTCTCTTTTTTGCTCAATTTCTTTTTCCTTAACTCTATTTTCTCTTTATTTCTTTCTTGCGATATTTTTCGTTCTCTTTTTTACTCTGTATCTCTGTGAAAAGTATCTCGATTTTTCAAACTTCAAAATGCCTGTGTTCCGTTCCAAAAAAGATTAAGTACTTTCTTCATTTACTTACCTTTGCCGGAATCCGTAATATCCGTTCTAACGAAACCTAAAAAAAAGTCCCATTGTATCGATTTTTCGGAAGAAATACATTTATTTATTTGATGTGATTATTTTGAAAACAATTACTTGTTTATATTTGTTCTATTTCATTATCTTGTTAGTGTTTGATAGTTCATTTTTCGATTAATATACTATATTTTGACTCTGGGTTATTAACATTCGTACCAAGTGCAAGTGTTTACCAGTAATATTTCCAAACAAAAAAATATTTCAGAATTTCAATAAAATCGAAATTATTTCGATTCGAAAAAAAAAACTTACTTAAGAAGAAAATCCTGAATAACTGAAAAGGTGTACTTGCGTGGGATAGTATTTGTACCCAGCTACTTGCACATAAACTATTCCATTTGTATAATTTTCCATTAATATTGGTAAATGTTATGACTTCTTCGGCTTATGATTATTTATAGTTCCTCTCTAATGTTAGTGGCTGACACTAATGAATCGCTATTTATTCAAGCATGAAAAATGCTTGATTGGAGTGTTTATTGCAATCGGAAACAGAATATATATGCATGGACATCTATTAATTGTTGTAATCAACAACAAACGAAAGTTATTAATAGCAAGTGTAGGGATGATTTCCCAATAGAAACATTTAAATAAAAAATCGGGGATATACGGATTTGCAAATTGTATTTGGAAGAGTTTACATTATTGGGTATCAGTAGTGAAGTCGATAATTTTAGGAAAAAAAACGGTTGTCTTAGAAAAAAGATTTCATCTTGATTATACACTATGTTTTAAATCAAATAAACATTCGATTGTGCTCAGAGTAACTTGTTGTTCTTAAATTTATCATAAACTAAAATCAATTCAATTCGAAATATAACTATGGTGAGATTTGGTGCTCACGAAATGGATACATAAAAGGGTGATCTTCTGAGGGTTTCCATTAGCTTTAATAAGAATAGGTGTTTTTTCTAATATTTCGCGTCGAAAGACATTGCTTAAAGTTAAACAGTGATTCATTTTATATACAATATCACTCATCGTGACGTTTGACATTCATATTTATATGTATTTATATACACGATTTGATTATATTTCATGTCGTTAGTGACATTTTTCATTTTGCACGATAATTTATTTTCACTACAATTCATTATAGTTAATATCCTAGGTTTTTGTTTCATCTGCATAGAATTTCAATATAAACTCAAAAAGCATGTGGTATTTCGAAAATAGAGGGAAGCAAATCCATGCTGCCCAAGACTTACACATCAAATAATCAAGATGTTTCAACCGTGACTTTTCGATAAATTCAAATAAAGAAAGTTTACAAAAAAAAAAATGAAACGAAATAAAAAATGCCATTTTAGTTGTTGTTGAATGGTAGTTCTTAGTTCTCGGGCCGTGACATGACACATACCACATCACGTTTTTATAGCTGTCAGTTGATCGTAATTTGCGATGCGATGTAAGAGTAATGCTGCCAAAATTAACAGACATTTCATGTGTAAACAATCGCAATGAGAAATTGTGTGTCCTGAATTTCCGGCGCTTAATGAATCTACATCTCCTAAAAAACACGCGGACAAAAAATACACAAAAAGAACGATTTTTTTTTTTTAATGTTGAAATATTTTCTGAAGAAGAAAAACAGTTGTAAAAATCATATGTAAACTGAATTCAGCACTTTTTTTCGGTCGGTTGTAAAATGTGTTTGGTTAATTGGCTGAGATAGTGTATGGTGGCATGCTTGAACGCTCGATGAATGGACCATTTGATATTTGCTGTTCTTTATCATACCGAACAAACAGCGAGAGTCAACGGAAACGGAATTTTGATTTTGAAATGTTCAACATACGACCATATTTGCAAATAGATCTCAAGCATCGTGAATAAATCTCTTGCAAGTTCCGGTTTTCATCATTTGTTGATATAATCTATGCTTTTAATTTTCAGCAATGGACACAGAGAGCGACAAAAAAGGCAAGCAGGCAAAAATAGCTTTAGATTGAGGTTTATGTTTTATGAAAAGGCAACCGAATACATGACCTCAGAATATTATCGAATTTCAAAAATTGTAAGTCGGGACATCCGTGATAGAAATTATTCATGACGATGTCCCAAAACATGTTTAGCGAGACTGTTTTATTTTTTGTGCACTGGTGTTAAGTGTTCTTTTTTGCCACTCGATGTGTACAAAAATGTTTATGTGTAACTGGTAGAACTGTGTCGGTTTATCTGACAAACATTAGATTCATTTTCGCTGGATATGGTTTTGTGTTGGAAAATTATTCATCCCTTCGTGGCTCGTATTTCATATTAGTGTAATAAATTTGAAATTCTCAGACATTTTATGCGACCATTTTTAAATCCATTTTTATGAATAATGCACCAGTTTTGAAGTTGTGAATTTTTGCGTGTTTGCAAACATTGAACGCTTTTGATAAAACATTCGGGGTCGAAAATCAAATAATTTTTACACAGATTCTTTGTATACATTCAAATCAACATTTGAACGCTTTTGGCACAGATCTGTTTTTCAAAGCATTCGGGGAAAATGTGGAGGGTATTTGTAAAGAACATTTTCACATTCATTTTCATCAATCGCTGGGTACAGTTTTTTTTTTAATTTTGGTCATCATATTTTTTTTTTTTCAAACTTTGGTCACTACATTTTTCGCAAGCAACATCATGATTGGTCGCAACAAATCATAAATATTTTGTCGCTTAAAATGAGGCGTGGAAAGCGTTTGTTCATTAAGTTGAATTCCGTAAACTAAACAGCAATAAAATTGAAAATTTCCCCATGTTATCAAATGTATTTTATCGAATTGAAAGGAATTTTGTTGTTGGTGCCAATCCAAACAAGTTGTCCTTAATGATGATTTCTTCGTATTTCTCAAACTGCCGTTTATACGGTTCAAATGTGGCTAAGAAATATTGGTTCGCATTAACAATACAACACATGTGAATGTTATCGGGTGCTCATCATGGAGAAGCCGTTGAAGAAATATGTGTTTATTTCTATATTTTCCAATATTGACAAGGAGCGTGTCACACGGTAATAATGCGTGTGATTGGACGAAATATATTTGATTCAAACACACAATCGCTCTTCTTCGTTCGTTTCTTACTTTGAACCAGAAATGGTAACGTTAGTGTTGTAACGATGTTTCATTTCATTTGAAAAACTATATTTTACATTCTTTGTGTTGGTTAAAGTCGTTTCCGGTGAATACTTGCTTGCTGAATTTGTTCTACTTAATTTTTTTTTGCGTTCGGTGGCTCATACTGGCATGAAACGTAATTTATTTGGGCAAGCGATGAATGGTGTTTTCAGTACTTATATCACTGCCATACGTCAACACGGCATTAGCAATCAAATCAACTACCGTCGCGTCACACATAAATCTACTTACCAACTCGGGTATTTTACACATATGTCATGCATGCGATAAAATTTATTTCTCTATAAATGTAATCGTCGTGTAAGAGCATTACATGCTCTTTGGCTTGTTTCAGTTTTTTTTTCTCGCCTTCTTCACATAAGTTCCATTTCATTTGACAAACAATGGAAATACGACGGAACAAATGTGATAGACACAAACCATAAACAAAATGACACTATGCACCATTATTTCTGTGATTTTTCTTACTTTTATACGAATTATTCACACCTATCGGAGCTTGCACTATAAAGTAGTCAACATTTCTCACAAACGGTAAATACCACGCGATGATGAACGCTTATCGCCGCACTGATTTGTTCACAGGAAGTGCATTGCATATGTCATTTGATTAAACAATTCTTTCAGCACATTTATTTTCCATGCATTCTGGAAACTTTACTTCCTTCATTCTGGAAGATTCTTATTTTCATTGTCGACCTGAGAATGTGCTGTATTTATTGCTTCGTTTAACGCTTGTGTATTTGCTACTAAAGTATTGGATCGGACGTTACGCGGATCATATATGGGTACAGGTGGGTGTAAGACAGGATAAGGCGAAAGTTGAGTATTCTTTCAGAAAGGTCGTTTTGTGGATTGATGATAAATGTGTCCATTTACGATCCGGAGTCCAGACTTAGACCCTGTTCTAGGCCCATGGTCCACCGTGCACGACAGCAAATATATACCATTGTATTTTTCGTGGAGAACCAAAGTGCCAAAATTCGAATTTTATATTCAAAGGGAAAAAAATCAACTTCTTACCTTTAATGTGTGTTAAGTGTGAATCTTTTTTGTCATAAAAATCACCATAATTATAATTGTACGGATCATACGGAATGCTATTGTGCACTATATTATTATTATTAGTAGCAGGTGTGTGCACTGGTTTAGGCCGTTCTTGTTCTATAACCTTCTCGGTTTTTTGTGAATAAAGGTCGTGTATTTGCGACGTGCAGCGAATCTGAAAATGGATAAAAAATAATGGCATTAAAGGGTGTTTGTATAATGTTATTCTAACGTACATGTTTATTTGTCAAATTCGAATTCAATTCAAATGTACGCAAATAATCACGATACTTTTCTTGTATGTAATCTAAAGTGGGAATGGTAAAGTCATTCAAAATCTTCTTCACAGTGGGAGTTGGAACAAATTTAACAATATAGTAGTTCCAAAGTGCTTAAGGCACTGTGTTTTTTGTGTTTTTTCTTCATCTTATTTCATTTGCTTACTCTCTGGCATGTAAGAATGTTCCGGGTCTTATTTAAAGTTGGCCACACCAACGTGATGCCAACGAAAATGAGCAAGTGATTTTGTTTTCGAAACTATTTCGATGAAATTTAATTTAATTAAACTTATCAAGAAGCAATAAGAAGATGAAAATGACAAAAGCAAAACGGAGTGGAAAAATCGTTGCTTACCTTGAGTTTGTTGTTGAGAAAATGTTGTTGTGTAATCACGAATTGTATACCAGTCAAACTCGTTTCCAGATCGGTTTTGTGGTCTCTCATGATACGATAAGTTCGAACATTCAACGGATTTGGCTGGCAAAATAATGTAAAGAACATAAGACGATTACTAAATTATTATTATTAGAAATACTTTTCAAAACAGTTTTAGTTCCTCTCTTGTCACACGGCATTGCTGACATGGCGTTGCTGTTGAAGTGCGAACACGAAAACGAACGTGCAAAGACGAACACACTCACAAATATGTCGGCACAATGACACACGACTGCTAATAATAACATTTATTCAATCATGCAGCTTTCCAATCATGAAAAGCAGGCTTTGCTTTCTAATTAATTTGGATCATGGACTGCATAAGAAATTGCCGTCGAAAAGCCTTGGCTGATGCCAACTTTTTTTTTTGAACGAATATTTTAGTAGTCTTAACAGTTTTGAACAACAAAACATCCTTTGGCGTTGGTATGGTAACTTCCGAATTATTTTGTGAACTTATTATTTTGATTGTTATTATTGTAAATTGAGCCAATCTATTTTTACTCAACTTAATTAAACCGATATGAATAAAAACCATTCTATGTTTATTGGCAAAAGTCCATACCAACCAATCTCTTACGGAAAAACGATGAAAATTGTTGTATGCAATAGATGATTATGATTTAGTTATTGTGATAAATACCTAAAGCAACAAAATATTGCAAACTATTTGGAAGCCGATTTGTATACGGTTTTTTCTGTTAGTCGAAGTTTTTTTTTTCAATTCTAATTGGTTCATATGTAATTTATAATAATTAATATTATATTTAAAAAAAAGTCATTAGAATGGCAAAAAATCACAATATTGGTAAACATTCATGGTAATACATAATCGATACACAGGAAATGTTAATTCTTTCACCATCAACAATTTTCATATTTAATATGCTAAAATTCACACTGTTTAAATTACACATAATGTCCATTAAATCGTCAGCTACTTTGTAACCTAAATAAATATCATGCATACGTCCATTTATTGGAAGAAGTAAACTCTCACACCGGACGAACAACATTTTGTAATTAAACAATAAAATGCTTTCTTGTGGAAAATTATTTCAAATTTCTTATGCAACTGCAAAGGAGAATCTTAACAGACTTAAATTGTATTTAAAAAAATAGCCTTCGAGAAACTTTTTGGTTTGACTTGACATGAAACATAGCCATCTTTTATGAATGCAAAATTCAAGAAATAATTAATCATTCAAAACCATCTTCCTCAAGGCTTATTCTACATATTTAACCCATTGTCTACGGCAAACTTTTTTTCCCTTAGTATTTAATGAAATAGACATTGTCTCATAGGCAAATTACTCTAGTGCCATATCATAATGGTTAGGGCAAAATATGATTTAAAGAAATTATATCACACAGCAATTGTAATTAAATTAAAATCAATGATAGTTAGTAAATTTTATTATATCGATGCCATTGAGTATTTTGAAAGACAGACTGACCTGTCGAGTTTTTCGAAGTTGATGCAAGCACAAAACTTAGAAAAGCATTTTAGTATTACAATAACATCTCTTGCCGATATTTGTTCTTAAACAAAATTGTTATCTATTCTTAACGAAGAGAAGAATGAGAAGAAGAAAAATAAAAAAAAAAGAAGACGAATAAACCGAGTAATAGGGGGTATATATAAAATACTGAAGCACAATATAACTAATGAAAATCTTAAGGGCATGAAAAAGAGTTGCATAATTTTTGAATATTTCTTAATATTTGAATGTCGACAAAAATTATACATATATATTTATTCTGATTTGATGCCATCTTATATGTTGGAAAAATGCGATTTGAATATATTTGTGTGTGTAAGAAAATGCTTGTTGCATTTAAATGCGAATGTGTGTCTTGTAAAATAAATGATATCGTCAAAGACGTTTAAACTGTCTGCAAAATAAGCTTGAAATAGCGTTGCATAGCAATGAAAGTTCGTCGAAACTGGAATCCACGACAAAAAAATGTCTTTACTGAGCAGAAGAACTTTATTTATATTTATATATATGCTAGTAAAAAAAAGTCAAACAATAAATAAAGCTACGTCAAAGAATACATGCTATATGTGGTGCTATATGCTACAGTCCATGGTGCGTGACACAATGAAAATCAATGTATGTTCATATGTTTTACACAAAAATCTTGTTGAAAATATCCAAAACAAAGAAAATTGTCGTAGACAATCATATAGTTGCATATGTATGAGTATGTAAAACTCTTGACATTCATTTATTTTATTTACTTAATCATATCTTTAATAAGAAGAAGACGACGAAGACCGAAGAGAAATGCAATGTTTTTCGCAGTCGGTAGTTTCTACTGAAATGGCCAAAGTTTATATAGATCTTCGAATGACTTTCGTACAGTTTATAAACAGCATATAAATTATCAGTTGAAACCCTTTTGCCAAAATTTATTGCTTTTATCTCAATTTTGAACGAAGCAATACAAATCTGAACGTAATAAAATAATGTATTCCGACTAAGAAGTGAGTTGCTTTTCTGGCTGTGACTAATATAAAGTTGTTGTAAGAAGGAGAGAAAATAATTGATTTTAGCTCGATTACAACATTTAAACTATACAGACGCATCACATCCTTATTCCCATGTTTCTGGATGTGAATCGGAAATTGTGCTCTATCATACACACCACTTCCATTTGAATACATTTTCATTCCGCTTATTAAATTTAGTTTCTAAGGATTTCAATTCCGTAAATGCTTGCGATATGATATTCAATCGAGCAATCTGTATTTATTAAGTGACAATTAATCATCATAAATCCATGTTGCATTCCCATCGGCCCATCGAGTTTTAATAAATTCAACAGCTGTTGAAAAAAATATTACGGCCCATCTGGATTTAGTGTTTGGATGTATTTCAAATGACGTAATTTAGTCCACGGTCATCCATTTTTCAAATACTACAAAACAGATACGTTCAATTTTTTCTTTTTTATTCTCGATAGATTTGCACTTCTTTCGAAACGAAAAGCAGATGTGCGATGCCGACAATTTTAATAAAGAGATAATTACGCTAGGAAAATTGATTATGCAAATTGGTTATAGCACGATGTTATATACGCACCCGCCACGATGGATGGTGGTGACGACGATGCGATGGGATAGATAAAAGTAAATGTTTCTCACAATTTTGTCCCTGCTTTGATTTTTTCCCTTATGGCACACGGCTAATAAAAACAAGAATTAACTCTAAAGCGAGTTTTTCGACCACACAAATAATCAACATAATCTTAGTCATTTTTAGGGTTTGTTATTGAAATAATGTTAACCTTTCAATTTTACATAAGTTTTTGATCAAAAGATTGAAGATATTTTTTGCCAATATATTTTCATCGCACTCCTTTTCGGACTATTTAGTCCTTATTTCAGAAATCACTTAACGTAGCTTCCTAAGAATCCAACTTGGTTCAAAATTTTCCGAAAAATCTTGACAGGTCTCAAAATTTGAACGGAAAAGTGAAGACGATTTTTAGGTCTTCAATTCCAAAATGTCATTCTCTCTCGTATAAACTTTCCCACGGTCGAAATTGAAGGTCATTTTACATTCCAAAATTATTTTGGAGTAGAAATTTCCAAAAGTGAGAAGGAATAATCTGACTCCTTGAACCCCTCCTTAGAAGGTATGTCGCTTAATTGTTCATCATGACGGAAATATATAAAGTCAATGCTTCGGTGTCAATTGACGCATGTCTAATCTCTGTTGTTAATAACCTAAAGTGCAAATGTGAAAACCAGAGCATGAAATCGCACTTGTGAACTAACGCAGCATTTCATAGCGCAGTATTTCAGAGAAGCGTAGTGTTCTTTCCACGAAACACTCCTGAGTTCATGTTAGTATGCAGATCACATGAATGCAAAGAACGTTTGTCACACTAACACATTCATAGCTAGGAGCCGCTCCCAGAAACCGCTCTCTTGATTAGTGTAAATTTCATGCCCTGTAAAAAACTCCACCTCAATAAATCTTTTTTTTAGCAACTTTGATCTTTGCGTTAGATTCAATATTGGCCGAGCCAATTTAAAGGATAAAATCGCTTTCGGCGAATTTTAGTTATACAAAGTGTTGATTTATTTTAAAACCTAATTTCGTTACATTTTCTTTGCCGTAAGTCCAAAGTTGTGAATTCAACAACGTATCCGTGTTTCATTTATTACATTTAATATCAGTACTATGTTTGCGACTTTTGTGTCTAACTCCGTTGAAATCTCTTGTTAACAGATTATGCCTCGGATATTAGCATCGTTTACATAAGATTTGTGTAGCAAAGTTTATTTTTCATGCAACAGGCGGTGCGAGGCCTTCAAAAACATAAATTAAACCAGTTTCAACGCCGTAATTTTAATGAACCGAACCACCGACCATAGTTCTTTTTTACTCTTCGCTTTTATAAACATGCTGAACTTACCGGAATATCGTTTATATACCACGTGAGATTAGCAGCTGGTTTTGAATTTTTCGACGTACAATTGGCTCTTAAGCTGTCTCCAATTCTATAGCGTGGCTTAATACCATGCACGATTGGCCGATGTTCGGGAGTATCTGGAAAAGTTGATTAAAAAATTGTTAATCATACTGAAAAACTAAGGTTTTCTCATTGCATAAAGTATATGTAAGTGCATCTTTTTTCAATAAAAAAAGTTCAAAATAAACTAACGAAATAAAACATATAAGGAAGTGTCCAGTCATACAAAAACGGGAATCAACTTTTCAATGGATGCACCTGTTTAGAATTATTTGTTGTAAATATACAATGGTCGATGTCAAATGTGTGATTCTTTTGGAATCACGTGCGAACTGTTAAGAGTTCAAGGCTTCCATGTGCTGAAACTTTCTCCATTCAGTTAACACATTTTACCTTTTTAAATGCATAAAATGCCTTCTATATCATTTCTCTTGAAATGTGTTTTTCGAAAACATGTGCAAAGTTTGAGCGAGCGGAAATTTTATATATTTACAGATTTATCGTGAAAATGTTGCTTATAACGAAAAGATAAACGACATCAAATTGATCTAAATTTCAGCATTTGCATATGTAAAATTCGTTTGCGGTAAGGATGACATCCGCTTTGGGGATGGAATAAGCATAAATGCAAAGTATATATGGCCATCCGTATAAAATATAAACGCTTGAAAAAAGTTGGATTTAAATGGGTTCGCAAAAATGACAGATTTTACTTTCGATTTTGCCAAAATGTGTGATCGCAAATTATGCAACTCAACGGCTTGTATTCATTTTAAACCAACACTTAGTAGACTGAGAGATGTTCGACGCATTCAATATATGAAACATACGAACGGATACAGATAATAATGAAAATATTTCGTATGCGAGCCGTTTCAAGAGCCCCTACTGCACTGTACCAAACAGAAAATAAGAATTTTTGCAAAAAAAATTTTTTTTTTGAAAATTATGAGATTCTGCAACGAAAGCCGTGCACCATAACAAAGGCATTTCAGACAATATATTTAGCTGCCGTCATCTGGATATTTCAGCTCATCTGGATGCCGTCAGCAGATGATGCGAAGTGAAAGAAAACAATAGGAGGGATTGTTATAGTAATACCAGTATATAACAAGCTTATATACCTATAACAATCACTTCTATTGTTTTCACTTTGTATCATCTGCTGACGATATCCAGATGAGCTGTAATATCCAGATGACGACAGCTAAATATACTGTCTGAGGCATTTGCAAATAGTTGCACGAGTGAGAATGTGTACAGTGTACACACATACACGGTATATATAATATGTGTGTAAGTCCAACGGATAAACAAAATATAAATGCATTAATTATGTGAAGTTTAGAGTTCGTGGAAGTGTGTAGCGGTTGTGCCGTTTTAATTTTTCGCTTTGGCATACACAAAATTCGCTATGTCAATTGGGATGCATACGACCAACCGACAAAACCACAGAGTTGTTAGTAGCATACTTTCTCCTCTTCCAACAACCGATAGTTTTTTTTTTGTTTACATTTTCTCCGGGCTTTCTCCTTTGCACCCTTTGATTGTTGCGGGGCCATGTCTCTTCGAAAAACCAGCACCGATAAAGCTATGACGTTTTTGGATATTTTTGTTGGTGGAAACATAATGTTTTCCATGCGGCAAGGATTGTTTTTGGCTCGGTTACTTTGTTTTATAGTTGCGGTTTTATACAAATTTACATGGACCGTTTTATATTTCCGTCTTGTGTGTGTGTGTGGATGGTATGTCTACACCGACTCTCTATGCATTATCGACTTACAAGGACAACGATCACGGCAACGAGTGGGAGGGGGAGAGCAACGACGGTGTGTGTGTGTGTGTGTGCATGGTGAAATGAAAACAGTCGTGCTGAACACAAACACAGAAGAAAATCCAAAATTTTCAATGGCCACATATTGCTATCTTTTACCATCTCTTTTAGTATCTCTAAAACTCTTCGCTACTTGTGATCGCATCATATTTCCCACTCATATGAATAATGTATATATGTGAAATAGATGTTATAGTTATTGTTGTTGTTGCTGCACTTCGGACTTGTGTGAATAAAACAATTTATGGCGTATTTAAAACTCGGTTCGGTTGTAAACTTTTTCTTTCCATTAACATTAACACCGAAATATTTATTTTAATTTATAGCAGCGAAAGCATAATGAATATGTGTTGGTTTTTGCTTTGTTGGCTTCTTCGAATATATGCCAAATATTTTTCAAATGTTCTTTCGACGTATTTTTTACGTACCAAAACTGGCGTAAATATTTCTCATATTGGAATTCATTTTCTTGCATAGAAAAAAAGAAAGAGTGGAAGAGAAATTGAGCAAACAAGAGATCACGAGAGAGAGAGAGAGAGAGAGATGGAAGGAGGAAGGCAGAGAGAGAGAAATCGAGAGAATATTAATAGAGATATTTGCACGTATACATACAACGATAAAAATGATGACGGTGATGTTTCCGTTTTTGGTCTGTTTCAAGTACATTTCAATTTATGTATTTTGTGATTATTATGTTCGCAACACGGAATTATGAACGGAATATGGAAATGTGCAAATATTTCTCTGATTCGTTCTATATTCTATCATTTTCGGAACGGAAAAAATTGTTCTTTTATTAAAATAACCTTATTTTACACAAAGCTGTTCTAATATTTTAAATATAAAGATGGATAGAAAGAGCGGGAGCGGTGGAGAAAAAAAAAATGGGTGACAGAACAGCAGAAAATGCTGCTGTACTATATGCATTCAATGCATTTTGTTGCACTTTAGCCATTTGTCGCCAAGCATAAAAAAAATTGATTTTGAATACGAAAACAAAACACTACCGAATGAAAAGACAGTAAACAATTGCTCAAAAATGGAGAGATAGAAAGGGAACGATGTCGATAAAATTCGTTCGAAAAATAAGTTCTGTTCCAGATTGCTTCTTCAGTTTTCTGTATCTCTTGGATTGTGGAAAAAAGCATCCGAGCGCAAAATTCAATAATGTGCATACAATTTCTTCAATTTTCTGTATCTGCGTTTTGACGCGTTTCACTTTTCTTTTTCTCATTTAACATTTTTATCAAGCTGCCTCGTGTTTATTCTTTTTTTTTTCGCATTGACTCACAGGAAGAATATCCATAAAACTGAATGTTTTTTTTTGTGGTAGACAAAAAGGACAGAAAAAAAAAGAAAATGACGTGAAAAAACGAAATACGAGAAAATATTGCATACTCCAATACGTTATTATTTTGGAGAAGCAAAATAAACTTAACTGCAAAAGTTGGGAAATACATTTGCATGTCGTATCTTGGTTGTGTCTTCGGTGAGTATTTCTTTTTCCTCTCGTTTTCTCTCTCTCTCTATTCTATTCTTTCCATCGCTTCTTCTTTCAATTGCAGCAACAAAATGCTCGTCATAACAATTGAAACAAAAAAAAAAGTTTCATTCAAGTTTTGTTAGATTTTACAGTATGTGAAATGGGGAGGTTACGAATATTTGGTGGACGTGCTCAGGTAAGGCGAAGAAGAACCGAAAAAAAAAGAACGAGCACTGAAACTTGAAGAAGATTTTTTGATTTTTCAATTCACCGCTTTTGTTGCCCGTGACACTATAATACAATGAAATATTTATTTTTATTGTTTCACAGTGGGACGTTGAATCACAAAGAAATACACAAGTTGAGACGCTTTCACAAACAGACCGAAAGGACACACGAGAAAGGAAAAAAAAACGACGAAAACAACTGAAATCAACTTAAAGTCGAAAATAAAATTATTCAATGCAATGGTTTGGTTACAACTCAAAAGATTACAACTACCTGAACGATCTTTGGAAAGCTTTTCAATTATAAATAGTTTCATTCAAAGTGCTATTGTTTTGTATGTATGTCCCATTTAAAAAAAAAACTCGATTTTACATAAAATATTATAATTGCGAATCGCAATCGAATCAAATATAAAAACACAATCACTCAAAAATATTTGAGACTCGAAAAATGCAGATTATTTACGTAGATGTGTGTGTGTCACACTAACTGAATGCACATTGTACAAGTTTCTTCAGAGCACCAGAAGAACGATGAAGTTTGTGTTTCTTTTTCTCGTTACTTTAAATCAGATTTATATTGAATATTAAAGGAGACGTCTGTATTTGTGGTTATTACATTTGAGAAAACGTCGCCGTTCTGATAGAAAATGGACTGCATCGAAAATTCAATTAAGTCGATTTTTCAGTTTGGATTGTCTTCGGAGGAAAATCTGTGCCATAAAAAAGAAGAACTACTTTTCTTTTATCAGTTGCACTATATTCAAAGTTTTGCTACCACCAAAAATACTAAAAACTTTTTTTGGGGGAATTTCCGTTTGCCTGTTTTTCATTTGTAATAATGGGACAAAAATTTGCAAAGTTTCTTATCGATGACGACGTTAAATTGATCATATGATTTCAATCCAGACAGAAAATATAGTGAAATTTTTGTTAACACTCACCCACCACCTCTAACGCTTCGGTCGCAATCTCTGTGTGAAAAGATGGCGCATCAGCAGAGACCTATAAGACATATAAAATTTAGTAATTTTTTAGTGTACATTTATTTGTGCAGTGCGACTGTATAGACTATAGATAGACCAACCTCGCAACTATATTTTCCTGATGCGCTTGGTTGCACATGAGACAGTGAGACTTGACTTTCATTCGATGCGGAACGCTGTAATGACACGTATTCATTTCATTTTATTCATTAAAAATACTTGGAGAAAAACATGGTGGAAGAATAATGACAAAGCGACAAGACATGCAAATTAACGAACAATTCAAACAAAATTATATTTAATTTGCGACAAGAAAAGCGTTTAATAACAATAATTTCTTATTGAATGATTTAATTTTCTGGCGGTGAAATAACTGTCGAATTTTCAAAACTTTTTCAAGCGTTTAATGAATGGTAGATTTCATTTTAATGAACTATAATAAACATTGAAATGGATACACATTTTTATTTCCTCAGCGAGTAAAAAATATTTAAAATTATAATATAATTGATTTTATTAATGAATATGTTGCACTCTTATATATTGCTATGAAAAGCAGTCTCTGTTTCACATTTGATTCCCTTGTTCTTTGGAATGCCAAAATTTAACCATTTCGTTTTTTTTTTTTAATTTTTACAGCTAATTTTTTAAAACATTGACTTTTTCTGAAAACAAAAAAAATCGTTTATACTAAAATAGGAATTTCATTAACATGGAGATTTTAAGTAAAAATGTAATTTCTGGAAATTCTAGACTACCGAAATGAAATCTAGCTAATCTAGGTCGTCTACTCAAAAGCGGCTTATTTCACGTTCTGAATCCGTGTTAAAATGTGTAAAAATGTTGAAATGAATTTATCAATTTTTTTCGTGTCGGTATGGGGAGACTGTCAGTCGCGGACTCTGTTGCAGCCTCTGCAATCCACTAGTTCTGAACATGGCATTAAACGTGTAAGTTCACACATAACAAAAACTGGCACATAGATTATTCATATTTGTGATTTTGCTTGTTTCTATTGTTGACCATGTATCTTCCCGATGAAAAATGAATTGCTTTCGAAACGAAAGAATGTAATGGAACACTTTTTCTCTTATCAATATAAGCGAGTACAACATATGTTATAAATCCACTGAAACTTTGCCGAAGAATGAATTATGTTTTTCCTGTAAACACTACCTAAAATCCATTTATGACTATAACAATTTCAGTAGGAAAAGTCAGTTTTATCAAAACTTTGTTAAGTAAGTGCATCAAAACCTTTAAAATGGTACTTTAACATTTTAGACCTTTTTTAGCACACACTTTTAATGTTAACTATTATCGATGGAAGGTAATCGAAACTTAGACTATAAACTGTTTTATCAACACACACACACATGCTGCGACGACCTCAATTTTAAACTGATTGTTTATGTAAAGTATATATTTTCACAACTATTGATTTAGAATAAAAGCCAAATTATCGATAAATTATTATTTTTGAATGTTCCCAAAAAGTACCTTCTACACACACACATACTACTTTATCAATGTTTCCATTTTATAATGTTATTATTAATACATACCAATACATTAATGCCATTCACCGTAAATGTTTTCATTGCTGGATTCTCTTTTGGCGTGCTGGTATAAACAAGAAAAAAAGCAACGAATACAGATTGAACGCATTAAATTTGATCATTGTTAGAGGCTAGAGGGAAGAAAGAAAAAAATGGCCAAATCGATTTAACTTACTATCGATAGAATTCTCTCCGTCCCTTGTACCATTTCACAGCATAAAGCGTATCACCTTCCAAATCGTACAAGCAATGCAAACGTGCGGTATCGCCTCTCTTTACAGCCGCTGGCACGAAAACTTCAACATCACGCAGAGCGGTCGCTACTGGGAAAATGGATTGGAAAATAAAAAGCGAATAAATATAACCGACATACAATGTGAACGAACAAACGAAAACGAACGAAAAAAAAAATTGGAAAGCAAAACTGTGGGCATAACAATGACAAGAGTAAATTGATTATCATAATTTATTTGCAATTAGATTAAATTGTTTCCGCTTTTTTCCACAATTACTCTCGTTAGTTATCTGCTATTCAATGACATAGACCGAATATGTTCAAAATTGAACACAACATGCTGTCAATAGATACTTCTATTTTGTATTAACAGAAAAAAACACCGTTTCACCAACCACAATCTATTTGTTGCAAAGGAAAACTCTCGCAGAAATTACTTCGATAACTAGGCGGTATTGTTAGCAATTTTTTTTGGTCCTGAAACATAGTCAATTTTTTCACTCCATTAAGTGGTAGATCATTTAAAATATATGCACAGGATGAAAAAAATGTACGTAATGGAATTCAGAGATGAGTGTTTTAGACACTTTTATTTTGGAAAAATCCCGATTGGTGCATTTCTTGACCGACAAAAACAATCATTTCAATGACATTTTTCGATTAGTTTCAAGTCACCATGCTCAGTGCCACGTTGACATCAAAGCTCTTTGAGGATTTAATGGAGAAAATTGAAAGTTCGTCTCGGGAAAATTCAAAATAGCGACTCAAAAATTGATAACGGGGATGGAACTATTTTGGTCTGAATCTCTAGCAAATCTAAAGAATCTCGCAAAAGCTTAAGAGGTTCCGTTCTCCGATTTTTTAGAGGGGGCAAATCGGAACCCTCAGAAGCTCTATCAACACTTTTGTCCAGTGCTCTTATTGATGATGCTCTTTCAAAATGTACTTTTAATAAATGCTTAAATATAATATAAGTTCCTTTCTAGGATGTGTAGTGTGTACCTTCCTAGTGTGAGTCTGCATAGGGTAGGTTAAAAAGTATACGGAATAAGTCGAATGGTTAGCTTTGCCATCATCTTTTGCCTTGATATAATTTCGTGATGATCGAAGTGAAAATTTTAAATTATCACAGATGATAAACGCCCATAAAGTGGTTTACTTTTTGGGCTACACTCAGTTCTGCATATTGAAATGATCAAATAAAAAAAAATATTCTTATTAAATCAGCTGACAAGCTTTTCATTTGAATATTTGTGTATGAAAATTGCCATTATCACCGCATTTTATCCACATGAAAAATATTGCGAAACGGTTTTATGTTTGTTTAGATATTATTCGTCGAATTGTCTCAACAAACATTTTTATTACGAATATCAAAATCGTATGCCGACAATTCTAAAGGTTATTCAAATTGTATGCAGCAAAGTTTGACACGTCGTTCACAAAAGAATGTGTATATGTTTTGTCAGTTCTTTTGTGAAAACGGAAAAAAACACTGAATAAAAGTGAAAAGTGCCGTTAAATCAGTTCAATAAGAATAATAAAAATCATCGTTTCTGCATTTCAAAGCACATTCCATGAAGCGAGCACAAACATATATATCAGAAAAATGATGAAAATATTTTATTAGCATCGTTATGCCGCAAAGAAAAATGCAAAAGATAGAAAATAATTTTTTATTATATTATTGTATGAATAGAATGCGTAGCTTTAAAAGGTTTCCACGTTTGAAATGATTATGTAGCGACGGTAGCTCAAATGCCGCAGAGCACAGCAAGAGTACATATCAAAAAGATTTATTACCATAACAAATCTCAGTGTCGTTCGCTTGCATTTGTAGACACTTATAACGAACACTTGAACACAAAACACACAGACCGAGATGCATGTATATATCCAACACACATTTTACACATCGACTAAAAGGTGTAAATATCCAGCGGTGAAATCTCTCTACTTTTCTCCGTGGGATATTTTCATATTGAAGTCCCACTGTTGGAGTCAAACTCTGAAGCACCACCGAACGGAATAGAATTACGAAATATATAAACGACTTCATTCAAAAAGACACATGAATTACTTGATTTTCGCTTTTTTCTATATTTTCTTGTGTGATTTTTTTCGTAAGTCTGATGTCGTGCACCTTCTTATTCGATAACTTGCCGACACTTTTATTTTAATGTGCTTACAGCGCAGCTCCATATCTTATATTGTTTTCGAACGTTTAAACCACTTCTTTAAAAGACACGAATAAATACATTTTTAATGAAATTAATAGAAAATCAGTGATTTACTTCGTACAACCAACACAACAGTTTTTGACAGATGTTTTAAAGCCAATTTTAGGTTGGTTTTTTGATATTCTAACTTTGAACACTGCTCTTCGGTTTTATGTGCTCATCACAACGAATTTGTGCATCATTTTTCAACCGTTTATGTTATTATATTTTTGAGATTATTAAATAAATATTGTTATTGGATTTTATGGAACTTTGATCATCTCAACATCTGAGACGCAATCTAAAGTATGTAAAAAGTCACATTCTTACCACACGAGAAAAAAATGTATCGCAAAATTACAAAATTCGTTGAAAAAATTTCTTGGAAATCATTCTAAATGAGACCATTTTTTCATCAAATTCCAACGAATTTCAACTTTTCGACGGGTAAAAAATATTTTCATAATCGAATAGTGAAGCATTCAATTTGAAGATAATAAAACCGATGCGTTATGAATAAATCAAGTGTTTATTGTAAGTTCAAAATGTATTGCGCGATTTTTTCAATAGCCAACTTTTTGGTTGGTAATTCGCATAGGTAACGAGTTGAAATCAGTATCGACTATAGTCGAAATTCATTGATGGTATTAATATATTTGAAAACGTAAACTTTTCAATTCCATTTGCTTATGGTGTACATTTTTGGGTCTTTATTATACGGTGATGGTGTCGTTAGATGTTTTTAACTGGCAATTGAATGTTCGTGTACAGACAAGCGAATTGCACGTGACAAAAGTGTTTTTCGTACGAATTCAGTAACAATCTTTCCGAATTTATCGCGACCGGCAAGCGAAAAGCCAACAACGATGTACAAATTAGAATTGAAAACAAGTAGAGAGTGAATGCGGCAGCAACACGAAAAAAAAGCGCGTACCTTGAACTCAATGTAGCTAATTGCTATAATCTAAATCAATTTTCTTAATTCTGTCAGGTTATAAAATGTGTATTTGTGTTAACATCGTACACACAATTAACTAATTTAATTGTTACGTGCTTTGAATTTTTAATGCTTTGTATTGCGTTTTCATGAAATCCATTTTCCTATGAATTTTCCAACCCCTTGGTTCCGCCGTCTACGCCAGCCGCATCACTCTCTCGTTCCCATTGTACTTGTGAACACGAATTCCATTCACTAATTTGGAATTGCACACCCCGAACCGGAAAAGAGCAATGTAGCAATGAAAAATTACGCAGTTCGAAGTTTTCAAGCTTTGTTCATTGTGCAAGTAAATAAATAATTTGTGACTGCAGAACTTGCGACTGTAAAATAAAGCCATATTCACGGAGAGAAAATAGATGAATGAGAGGGAATGAATCGGAAAGCCGATAAGTACAGATTTTCCCGTTTTTTTTTTTCGCTTGCGTCATTTCATTTCATAAAAGAGTACTCCTTTCATCTTATAGACATTCATTTCAGTTGGCAAGTCAGCCTTAAACTCTCATTACATATTATTGTTAAGTCACAACAATTTTATGAGCATGCATTTAGCACAATGCTAAAAAACATGAGCAGAGACGATTATTAGTTGTTCATAAGTGTTTTGCATTCAAGTTATATGAATATGAAACGAAAGACTGCACATTTTTTTCTTATAAATATTTAATTTTTCCATGCGTGTACAATGGTAGAAAGCGTAAATGAGTTTTGTCATCATATCCCGCATCCCGTCGCATCCAACAATGTGAAATAATAGGCCAACATTTGTCATGGCTTTTCAACCGCAAGAGCAATTAAGTGCTACTCAATAAAATATTGCGGTTTTGTATGATCTGCGAATATCGAACGCATATTTCACACTCAATGTACCAATGTTTAAAGCATTTCCGATACGAGTGTAGACAGAAAAAGATGCCTGTGGCAAACGATTTTTTTTTCAATTTGATATTATGGCCGGATATAATAAAATAAATGCAACACTAACGAATGCGCATCAACGCTCGAAATGAAATTGAAAAACTATTAATGAATGGTTAAAAACAAATGTTCAAACCCATTGAATATTTGCTTTTCAAATCCAGCGATTTAATTTAATATTGTTTTACACTATTTTGGATTACCTTTTTCAAGTTTTCTAATATACATGGGAAACACAATTTCCGTTTGTATGCCGAATACAGGAATGTAAATACTTTCAGCGAGAATATTTTAACCAAATTGAAATTTATCAAAAATTAAATTTAAATAGGTAAGTGTACACGGTTGTGTACAAATGTTGGGCGGTAATTAAAAAGTGGCCATAAAAATCGCTATATTAGTAATATCGAAATAAATATATTGTGTTTTCGTATTTTCACCAAAATCCTGGCGATCCGATTTTTTTCTGTCTCCACTGTTGCACATCGAGTGGAAACAGTTAGAAGCGGCCAAATCTATTTCAGGGATAAATAATTGAACTTCGTGAACTAGCGCCAGAGTATTTGGATCAAACATGGGCACGATCGGTTAGTAAAGGTGTGCCAATTACGGACGAACGCCCAATTAGTCGGGAGTTAATCTATCAGACGAGATTTTTCTCTTCTCTTTTGAAAAACAATTCACATTCAATAAGTGTCGTTCTATATTGTGTGAATTTGTCTTCAATTTTCTTGTCCACCCGGGAACTTCGAATGATTTCAGGGGGCATATACCTCCTGTACTCATGTATGATTTGGATACATTATTATTGTTGACCTCTTCATATCGGCGAACGACGACTTTTAACGAAACAATTTTAATTTTTTGTTTGTGAATGCTTTCTAGAAGCGAAGCAAAATAAATGTGGAGAAACGTTTAAAAACCATAAAAGTTTCACATAATGAAAAAACTTTT